CAGCTAGCCCAAAGGATCAGAAACCGCGTGTTCGCGCGGAATTCCATTGGCATAAGGTCTATCAGTGATTGTGACATCTTTTGCGAGAGAGCAGCTTTTGGGAAAAATCCTTGTTTTCTTCCCTTTCAGGACCACCTTCGTGCGAATGGTTACCTGAGTTGCATTCCTATTTGCATAATTAACACAAGCATTATGAGATTGGTTCATCCACTGCCAGAATAGAAGCGTTGGCCAAGAGGGATTCGGCAGGAGCATTCCTGTTACCTGTAACAGTTCAACTTTTATACAATGGGAGAGAACAATCGGCAGTAAACTTGTAATGCACACCGTAATCCATCCGAATGGCACGAATCCACTCATTCGAAATGGTGGTAACACCTTCTCACCGGTGTCCGGATGTAGAATCGCCTGCTTCACTTTTTGTGCTCGCCATAGCTCCTGATCAGTAGCTTTCGCTACACCTTTTTGATAGTCTTCGAGCAGTTGGACGGATTCACGCAACCGTTTCTTGAAAGTCAAATTTTTCAAGGCCTAGAAGCTTGCAAGGTGGATGAACAATATTAAGCAGAGACAGTTGAGAACGAGTTCACACAGTTCTATAGGACTCTATAGGATAAACATTCCAAATTGCAACCTAAAGTCAGTAGGCATGATTGATGGGGGCGGGCAGTTGTTGCCAGGGTCATTGGTGGAAGGGCTGCAAAAGGGCGTTCGGCCCGTCCCAACTCATTGTCATACCTTCCACCAATGACGTTAGCGACAACGGCCCGCCCCCACCAATCGTGCCACTGCCTTTACCTTCAGCCTTTTGTGGAGGGAGAGTTGGTGGTTTGCGTATTGTGGTGGCGGTAGGACGTACATGATGTGCAGACCGTGTAAGTCTCAGATCAACCAGATGTGCGATACTTCGGTCGGGCAGGCTAAATCAGCAGGGTCTTACAGGATGAAGACGATTTGCCTACAGACCCCAATGCACTTCCAAAGGTATTTTCTAGCCAGGGGCAGGAACATTTTCTGCTTTCCTAGGAATGAGCTACCGGCTTTCAACTTCTTTGCTACTATGCGGTGTTACCACCTATGCGGGAATGGTAATTTACAGAAAAAAGGCCCAACTCAAGACTAGCTTGCAGCTGAATCTCGTGTTTTTCAGGTTAGATGGCTAACATTTTCACCAAAGAAGCCGCCTTCTATGCTCCCCTCATATGGCAGTCGATGCGCATAACATCCAGCTCCAAGTCTTGGCTAGAGCCAAGCCCTCTACCATAGTTTGACATCCTGAGGGAACGTTCGTATCACGAACTGCGGCAGAATAACAACAGCTATCATTACGAAAAATCTTTAATTTGCCTGTCTACTCTGGATAAGTAGCGTTTTTCAGCATCAACACGAAATCAATTAAAAAACGGCTAAGAAGAGAAGAAGAAAAGATAGCGTGTTTTCAGTTGGAAAAAGGGAACGGTATAAACTGTTGTGAAACTCACGTCGGATGTAAATAGCGTGGACGGATCAACAACATCCAAATAGTGTAGATATCTGAAATTTTGAACTGTTGGCTATACGTGACTCAGTATCGTCCTTTTTGTGTTTACAGTTACTTTTACTCGTGTAAGGACACTCCAAACTTATAGCCGGAATGGTCAACCATTGTGCCTTCTACCATCCTAACCCGGCAAAGTGGAGGAATGCGCGAATAATGATGGCTCAATGGTTAACCGTATCCAGCCGCCGTCCTCGCATAAAGGGCACATCATCCGCTATGTACTCAGTATCTGCCGCTGGAGAGTGGGAGGAGGCGGTCGGCTGTGCCATCTCACGCACCTTACAACTCATAGCGCTGGCAGCGCTGGCCACTATTTCTGAGAAGCTGATGCGGAAGTGCTTGTCTATCCTACTGTCGCCGGCCGATTCTGGGTAGAAGTTAGGTGAGGAAAGACTGGTTGGTAAAAGAGACGTGCAAGAGAGAAATAGGGTGGGGCTGTATTTAGCTGAAATTATCCAAATGTATGGGGTGCCCCGTCTCCAATATCAAACTCGCGCTGGAACGTGCTTTGGGATTTCCTCAGTGTAGGAAACTTCTCTACATCTTATTGATCTTAATTCTTTCTTCAATCATGCAAAGACTCATCAACAGCTTCCGTAGAGGTTTCTTTGTGGAATCGAGGACTATTTAGTTGGAATGGTGGATATTTCGGGAACCCAAATATTGTGTCGGATGACATCTGCAAAAAGTTTATTGATGGAAGCGAAAAGAAAGTGTTGGGGAACTCGCTGAGACTTCGAGAGCAACACATTAGGAGAATCACGGAACCTCTGCGTTGATCCTCCCATATTTCTGGATGATGTTATCGGAAGCCCGAGTCATAAAACTCAACCGTCATTTACAGCGTTGAACAGTCGTTTTTTAATGTTTGGTAACAGTTGAAGCCCCAAAGGTTCATTCCAAAAAAACTCAGAAGACACCAAAAGTCTTAAAAGTTCATCAAAATTGATTATCTTGCAATTTAGTCATTTTCAAGATGTCAGGACATTCCCCTTTCACTCACATTCGGAAGACTGCTTGCTTAAGTAGCTTGAAGGTATCCTTACTCTTCAGACTAAAGAAACAGCAGGTTGTATGCAATTTTTTTCCTAGCACATTTTCCTTCTGAAAGGTAAGGTTCTGTGGTGATAATGGAGAAGAATGGTGGTTGCTGCAGACGAAATCCAACATTACTGTTCCCAAGGGACTGTACATTTTATTGGCATGTCATCATTAACATAAACCCCTACCGTGCTCGTTCTACAGAAGCAAAGACACTTCTAAGAACAACACCAGAATAACGATAATGCAAACTTTCACCCACTTCCGACGACGATCCTTCCAAGCACGAGTCCAACGGTCGGCTGCTCTAGTAGCGTATCTTCACTTAGAGTGCATAGAAAGGGGGTCGGAGGGTCCAAGATCCACGCACTCAGGGGGAGAGAGCAATTAGAAATGAGAGGGCGTCGGCAAGTAGTGTCAGCTATGGTCAGGCGTGTGACTGGCCGTGCGGCGGCACGGGGGAAGTGTGAAGACGGCACTTGGGCATCGTACCGCCCAGCCCAGTTCACGTGCACTTTTGAGAGGAGAAAGTGGTGCGCTACAGCAGTAGAGGACCAATTCAACTCGTACGTGGCAAGGACCTGGATTCACGGAGGTGAGCGTACAGTTTGTTTTCATTGTGCCATGCAT